GCGATACTGGTGCATTATACGAAAGGAGTCTGCTCCAGATTCCGGTCGTCTTCTGGCGAGGTTCAGACTCTGGAGCAGGTATGGTACAGTTGGAAGCACTTTCTTACGCGTCTGCCTCCGTGACCTAAAAATATAAAGCGGATATGAAAGGTGAGGATGAAGTTATAAGATTACCTTATTATGTGAAACTTCCATTAAGCAATTAATTCATCTGTGTATCGACACTTTGAGTTGAGAAACGGATAGCAAGTAAAATACCAAGACGTGTTAAGAGTGATTTTCTAATGGATCACTACAATGCTGCCTGAACTGCGTCAACGATCAGGCGTAATGAATTTGGGTTACTCGTCTACATAAGGTCAGTTAACCTCGATTATGACAAAGCAACAACTGTAGTGGAGTTTGAGGCCCACACTTTGCAGCTGTTCATCGCCTCGATAATCGATTGAGTCAGCACAAGGTGCCAGGAAAATGATGTACGAACACAAACTACGCGCGGTACAGAAAACTATTTTCACAATAACACAAAATGAAACGAGACTATTTCTGTTGGCGATTTTTGGGTTTACGTCTTTTGTACTGATTATCGCACCGGAAAGCCAACCAACGCATGGGTCCACCGCAGCAAACAGTAAAATGTCCATGTAAGTTTTGAAATAATCATTGGGACAACATAACCTGTTGCGCTTAAGCGCAGTTAGGCTTTGTCAACGTACCTGGGCATTAGCACATACATCTGGTTTGCAACAAAGTGAACCGGTTCACATTAAGAACAAACCTTAAGCAATACGTAAGTAACAACTGTTCTTCACCAGATGGAACATACAAGGATACGCGTCTGTTAAACAACCAGAAAATTAGAGCAAATGCCGCAGCTCAAGGGTAAGTCCAGTCAGCAACGAAAGAATAACAGGATGATAGGGCTTGGGCGATTCTTAGTAATCAACTGTCGGTCATCAAGGCCTGCCATTTTATCTTCACCTGTCAGAAAAATAGGGAATCATGAGGACAACAGCAAAAATCGAAAATCAACAGCAGAGATACACATCCAACCAATGATCACATTCTGCACTCAGAGATGAGTGCTGTCCGAAGATCGCTTCAATCATCTTCCGAATCTCTTTTGAACGGCTAAGTTCGCAGAAAACCGCAAATGACAAACAAACACGCATATTTCAATCACTCAAACTCAAGGGACTACCAAATGACAAATAACACAGCGCCTTAAAACTGAAACAACCGACGGTACACTAATAGGTAAATTCTCGCAACTAAGAGGTGTGTGATAAATAAACAGTACCCTAACACAAACGAGTAAAAACTGTCCGTCCCAATTATACTGAATTGTACCGTTAATGCGTATTTATTGTTCATTGTCAATACAGCATAAGAAACCACGTAATTCGGAACGTTAAAATTTGTATGGCTGTATTTCAGCAATGTAAATAAAAAATCAGCTTGCAAAGTTCTGCAAGTGCGCGTCCTGTAATGCTGAAATGTGTTGTTCTGCATGTTCATAATTAGCAAAAATCCGGAAAAGCATAAACGCACAGTTGCACAAAGATTGCGCGCAATGCCCCACGAAATATTTTTCGGAAACACCGCTGTTGCCTGATGCCAAATTTTTAACTTAAATTCTTTTACGCTAGCGCACTACTTGTCAGTTATTTTCCGAAAATTTCTGCTGAAGATTTAGTTTAATTTAATTTGGGATCTGCACTGCATTTGCTGCAGTGATAAGAATTGAATTCGGTTAAGGGAAATATGATCAATGAACGCAATTGGGTCAGCTTTCAGTAAGACTTTAAGGTGTTCGAAGTAAACAAAATTTATTGCTAGATTTCAAATATCGTTCTAATTTTTGACGACCCAATCATTTGATTAACCACGAAGAATGTGTGCATTGTATATCGCATTGCTGTCGTTCAATAATACGGTTGCAGAGGTGTCTTCGTAATGCTTCCATCCTCAATTCGGTTTTGGTGGAATTAAAGCTTGTCAAAAATGCAATATAGAAACATATACTTTGGAAGTTTCATGGCATAAATGCAATCCGACACTACAATACTTCGACTTTGGAAGGCATTGACACTAGTAAAAAATAGCTTGTAAAAGGAATGCTGCAAGATAGTGTAAGCATTTGGTCTTTGAAGCGAAAACCACTCTTTGTCAATCTCATCCCGAAAACCCTTTCCTTCATCTTGATGCTCCAGTTTAGAAGGCACTGGAATCTCGCTCCAGATGTCGCATATGCCATGTACTACATATAATCAGGTTTGACACAGAAATAAGCTACGTTCATAGAATTTTTGAGACTGTTCGGAGAAAACGACCCAGGGAATCATCAACAGATGCATTACAGTAGGAATTTGTACATTAGATTTTGACCATACACCATCGAATTCGAGATAGGATCTTCTTGCATGTGCCGTGTTCACTGATCATCCGATGCTTAAGTCTGTTTATTAGTAACCATATTACTTTTGTCAGGCGCCCCTAAACCGTTGGAAAAATCATAGCAACTTAATTGCGACATTCTTTATTCAGGTTTAATTTCGATCATTATTTGTATATAGTGAGAAACTGCTTTGTCACTTGTGCAACAGTATCTTACTTTAATAAGTAAGCTAAGAACTTTATTTGAACTGGTGATAAAATAATTATAGGATTTGACCTTGCAAATGTCTAGATGTGTACATAGCTTTTAATTAAACGAAAACTAAGGAACAGCTAAGCGATGGTTTACAGCAGACGGCACACTAGCCGACAGCTAATGTTCCGTTTGGTACTTTTTCACGAACGACATGTACTCTTGGACGTCCTCTTTGGAGCCGAGAATTATCGACGACCTTTGATGGATTGACTCGGGCTCGATGTCCAAAATGTTCTTCGTCCCCGTCGTCGCCAACCCGCCGGCTTTCTCGATTACCATCGCCATTGGAAAACATTCATACAGGAGACGAAGCTGAAAAGATCGATTATAAAACCTGATAGCATAGTTATACTAATGATAACATCCCAATCGAAAGTTGTCATGAACTACAGTGCATCATCATGCATCATTTTTTACGCAGCCGGCGAAATATCTAGTACTACGCCTTTAGACGATTGCTCAAATGCAGAGCGTTGTGCTGCAGGGTGCTCTCACCTTTTAATGAAGTGAAATAATATAATTACAAATTTTCGGTATTCAGAATAAAAGACCCTTCATTATATCTTAAATGGGGAGAATAGAATACATACATCGATCAGACCTTGTAAAGACCAGCTATAGCAAAGCAGCTAAAGGAGCAGACAAGGTTAAGATATTTCGAGCACTGAGATGATGCTGGTACAATATTAGACGCTCCTTATCTTCAACAGTGACAAAGATACGCTCTCAGGTCAATTAAACTGAAATTATAATTTTACCTTGTATGCAAACTGCTTTGAATGATTACTTTAAAAAAATTATCCTCGGGTTGACATTTCGTCAATTTTCATCCAGGACCAAAAGACTGGTCAGATATAACAATGTTCAAATAATGATTGAAAAATTAAATTTTAACTGACTTAAACTTAAAACGTTATATAAAATCCAACATTTAAACAAATTTTTCAAATAACTTTTATCAGTAGGATTCGCTAAATTTATTAAAAGTTTAAAAAGAACAACTAGAGATTAGACTGACACGTAGATCCTCAGAAAATTTAATTTTTCTACTTTGCTCGAATATTCATGTCCAGGAATCTCTGTAGTCAGAATGTAGTTTCTGTTATAGACACATATGCAACTGCGTCGTTAAACCACTACTTCAGTGCTACGTGATTAGCCGACTAACATTTCGAACGTGGGATGGTCACAGATTAACGCTTAAACTAAAACGACCGGTCAGAGCAGCAGTAAGAGAAGGACAGTGATACTGGCAATTTATTTCACTAGGCCTCACCACTGACACTGTAAGACACAACAACACACAAAAACCGCCACATACGCTAGCGTACCATCAACATTACAGCACGTCTACAAAATGAACAACAGACTTTAGGGTTAAATAGAGCACTTGATAATACTATACCACATGGAAGCTGCTGGTTCGTCCAGCAGAAGACGATCACAGTAGTATACTACGTAACAAAACAAAATCTGAACGAAAAAACACTCACCTTTCCGTGTGGAGACCGGGATGTTGCGGGATAAAGGAAGATGCCGCCATAAAGCAAAGTGCGATGAATGTCCGCCACCATGGAACCCACGTATCGTGCAACGTATGGCGACTAGAATACCATTGTCAGATGGAAGTAGTTAAAAACATCAAAAATACTCACCGCACAGTTCTTCTTTGACGCAATGTATTCGGTCATCGCCTTGTCCCAGAATGCCGAGAGACCCTCATTAGTGCTGAAAATCCGCCCTCTTGGCTTTATCTTAATGTTCGGATGAGTCAAAATAAATTCGCCGATCCCCTTAAGGCAGCAATCTTTCAAAACAGTTGAAATCACTTGAACAAACAAGAGGCACTCAACAAGTGATCTCATTACACCTAAGTTGTAAACAAAACGTCGATTCATAAAACCATTTCATTTATTAATCTGTTCCCATGTTGTGATAGACAAACATGAATCTAACAAGAACAAAAAGGTTTAGAGGTCTCATATTACTACATATTCAAAGAGCCATGCCGCTAAGAATACGTCATTTTGAAGCTATCAACCTGTCATTTCTCTCAGTTAGTTTCAAACGGAACACTGAGAAGTAAATTTTTAGCTAAAGAAAGATAGAGGTATGGAAGGCTTTAAATCTTTAGGCTCGGAAGTCATTGTAGAATTTTAGAAATTTACTGTTATTTCAAAAGAAAATAATAGTTACGGACACAAACCTGAAAATATCGCGCATGCCCAGCACAAATAATTGAATA